ACCGGCCGTAGATGTAATCCGCTTGAAATCGCAGGAAACGCGTCGTAAACGGCGATCGTTATATTTTTAGATTCCTAACGAATCCGCCGCGCCTCTGCTCGTGTGTCGCCGACAGTGACAACGGCGAGAGACGGTGCGCGCGGGGGGAGGAGGAGACGGGGGTAGGAGGGAGGGGTCGGATGGGTGGGATGGGGAGGAGCGGGACGAACCCCAGCGATACGCGAATGCAGGCACGACAGCTTGATTTCTGGCACTCCGACCATTCACGCTAGCGTGTACAAGGACGCGACGTCCCCAATGACAAGACACGGTATATATAACGCGGCGGGCAGCAGACGCACTCGTGCGCGAGTTTATGTTTAAGACGCGGGAGAGAATAATGGCGGCGATTGTCTTCGCCTGGTCGTACAAAGGCCTCCGCTGTGTGATCCTGCAGCATCTGCCGGCTAGCGGGGCCGTACGTTGGGCAGCATCTGCCGGCCGACTACCTGGGTCGTTAGTACAGGTGACCGCCGCCGCTGCCGCCATTGCCATGTGCTCCGTCGTCAGACAATGGCCGCCGGTTCGGAGCCGCAGTCGCGGCAGGTGCGTCGTATTTTCTCGCCCCTGGAGCTGACTCGACGCGCGTCCATTGTCCGGCCGGTAGAGGAGGCCGAGCGAGATTTACGTCGCGTCTGCTGGCTGTCGGCCGTTACTACAATACGCGGCGGCGGCGGCGGCGGTAGCAGCAGCGGCGGCGGTAGAGTGAACCATCAGCATCGAACAAGCAACCGACAAGCGGCATCGAGCCACCGCCTGCATGCGCGCTGTTTTCTATTTCGTGACCTAAATAGTGCTCAACGGCAATCACTATGCCGGCGCTGTATGCGGCGCGCGTGAATACAACCTATGGTGTGATGGGGGTTCGCTGTGAATATTGTCTATAACGTGATATGTGAATGCGTCCTTGCAAAATATGTGTACGCACCCACTATAAATATCGTCTACAGCGTAATATACGCAGAAGACCAATTATAAAACCCAATCAACGTAGCCTGATTTACGGAGTAGGGGTCAATCTATCACGTGATACATAGAAGACTAAGTATTAATCCAATCTGTAGCGTAATAAGTCAACGTATAGCCGATGCATGCCGATTAGTGTGACACGCCGAGCCATTATATTGAGACATCATCGCAGCTATATATAGCTCCTCTTAGTTCACGCTCTCTCTCTCTCTCTCTCTCTCTCTCTCTCTCTCTCTCTCTCTCTCTATATATGTCCCTCTTTTCACACACGCACGCACACACACGCGCACGCCACACACACATACACACACATACACACACACACACACACGCGCGCGCGCGCACGCACACACGCACACAAACACACACACGCACACGCGCAAATATTTGTACACGCACACGCGTATTTGTTAAAAGTAGCTCGGCATCTAACTGCGAACGACCCGACATCACGATTGGCAGCTCAGCGGAATAGGGCGCGACCAATGACCAGCGGCCCCGCGAACACGTGCCGTTAGTTTTATATTAAAAAATGTGTAAACTGAGAAGAACGCTCCATCGCCATCTTGGCGCAAGCTAAAAGCGGCCCGCTCTCAGATTTGGTTTCCCCATAGGCTACACACTTTAAGGTCGCGGGCTTAGCGACAAACGCATGACTCACGGGAAAGAATCTTAGTTTGGAAATAACTCCCCGGGACTGAGAATAACACGACCCACATTATCGAATGTTGGGCAGTAGGAGATATATCCTCCGTGCGCGAAGTCGTGTTTTCGCGGGCCCCCGGATTTCATCTAGTCTGTGTAGTGACTCGCTGATTTATTAGAATAATTAACCTGTAGACCGTTTATCACACCTACGTGTTTGTGTATACTGTGTGGTACTGATCGTCTACTGGTTAATACTCACATCTCTCACGAAATCTGCAATAAGAACATTGATACCTACCGCGCAGAACCTGGGAAGCCATACACACATCGCAAGGTACAACAACGAATATTACAACGAACACGAGGCGATAGCGCCAGGGTATCAGAATCGCCGCGACTGACAAGCATATGCTACACGGCGTACATAAATCATTTGGATAACTAGCGCTATGTCGATCAGCGGAGCTTCGCCGAAAAGCCCGAGAAGGCGCCGATTTGGCAAACGGCCGAAACGTACTGTCGTGAGGTCGTGTGCAAACATACCGTCGAGACTATATATCAGTGCATGCAGATACGTACTGTGTCATGTCGTGAATGCCTTATAAATTATGTGCGGTTAATCAAGCGATATGCGTATATAGTGATATAGCGAGATGAGACAGATGGCTCGTGCATGCTCTCTATTAAGACTCTTTGCCACGCACGACACGCATGCGCTGCCTTTTCGTCACATGAAGCAATTCTGCGATGCCAGGTACAGTAATCATTCGCAATTGATAGTGATTTACACGCGGTACGTATATAGGCGCAGCAGCCACGCGCAGGGAAGGGGGACGTCGTTGATTATCGATTAGTGCCACTAGTGTTGTTCGGCGTTAATTGCAAATGGCCTTACTGCAACCCACCCCCCATACATACACATATCTATCGATCTATCTATCTGTCTGTCGGTCTGTCTGTCTGTCTGTCTGGCTGGCTGGCTGGCTGGCTGCATATCTGCATGCCTGCATGTCTGTGTGTTTTTCCTTCGCTCTCGTTCGCACGTGTTTGCTCCCCCTCTCTTTCTGGCTTTAGTTTTCTCTCTCTCGCTCTCTTCAGCTCGCTTTCTTTCTCTCTCTCGCTCTCTTCAGCTCGCTTTCTTTCTCTCTCTCGCTCTCTATCGCTGTGCCTTCGTCTCCGTGCCTCTATCGCTCGCTCCTTCTCTCTTGCTCTTTCGCGAATTTCGTCTGCTTGCCTCACTCGGGAGAAGCCTCTCCATCTCTCTCCTAATACCATGTGAAGTCATCGAAGTCTAAACGATGCCTGCTATGGAAGCTGTCGTTGCCGTCTTATGCGAACAATGACCCTCCCGCTGGTGTGCTGCTAGACTCATGAGTGCGTGCGTACCCAGCTAGCAGCTCTCTTGGGGTCCTTTCAATGACACCAGCGTGCCTCGATGGTGACGCAGCCATATACGCTAGCGGATCGATATCGCGTGCAGATCGAATTCGCTCTCCAATGACAGCGCTACCATAATACTGTTGGACAGATTCTAGCAGCCAGTTCAAGCTTACGTGCGTAGCGCACATACGAGGTGGGATGGAAGGTGTAATGCCGTTATAAGGCCTTTAGATTATCACTTCACATTCTGATCATTGTGCTCATATATAAGGCGCGTTCACACGGACGTTTTTGGCCCGAGCCTAATTAGGCCCGCGCCAGATTTGGCTCGAGCCGAGCGTTCACACGGACGTTTTTGGCCCGAGCCTAATTAGGCCCGTGCCAGATTTGGTCCCATCGAAAACGTCAGACCAGGCCCGAGCCAAATTTTAGCACCAGCTTTCGGCGAGCGGTAGAGCGGTAGAATCGGTTGAGCGGTAGATGCGCGCCGCGAGTGTCGAACGTGTACTTCGACGAAATAAAGTCCAAAACAGTATAAAAATTCGAAAAATTTGATCATGATGCACCCTTTCAAGATTGATAATTGAACTCGGAACGGAAGGGCGGTTTGAGGGATGGAAATAAGTGCTTACCTAAGTAAACACTCTGAATCGTACACAACGCCATCTCGCGACATACTGCCTAAGTATCTGTGAGATATTTGTGCAATAAAATTTATTTGAATTTGAATTTGAATTTGACAGACAGTATTCACTTGTGTACGTGTGAACGCTCCGATCAAA